CACGTCAAATCCCTTTGCAAGTCCTTTATTGGCCAACTTCTTGACCGAGTCGTAGTTGGCGTACGCAAGCCGATTATGGCACACATTGAGAGTCGCCTCGGAGCCTTGCGCCACGTTGGATGAAGCTGCTCTCGAGTGCGTCTTGAGTTGGTGAAGTTCTCCGTTGAGAATGCCTTGCACGAATTGCTTCCCCTTCCAAAGAGGTTCATCTTCGCATCGTCGATAGTGACATTCACACCCTTCTTTGCGAAATGAGTGACTGTGAGGGTTTACCTTCAACCCCGGGACATGAAGTGCACGTTCGTGATGTCCACCGGTCCGCCATCGACGATGAGACGCGGTCCCAACTCCGACTACCCGTAGCGACTTGTTGTTTCTGATGACGACACGCGTAACGTCCCCCAGTGCACCAACATTGGTGAGGAACGATGACGAGTGCGACATGTATTGCGTTGTGCCAATATCGAGGAACCAGGCGTCTCTTGGTGTGTTGGTCCCATCACCAGCCAATAACACGATTGACTCCCTTTAATAATCCGCCTTGCCGGATGCTGTATGCGTGTTGCCCTCGTAGTTCCGCGCCTTTGGTGGAGTCCAATCGCTTGGGCGCTTCCGACTCTATCGCCAAAAGTGTCCTGCTTTGCCACAATAGTGGCACTTGCTCGAGCCGTTTGACGTGTTTCCCTTGCCACGTTCGCTTCCATCGGACGACTTCTTCGTCGCACCTTTGCTCCACATGGACTACTTTCCGGAACTCCCTCTGGAGAACATAACGGTCCCTACGTTCTCATTAGCGAATTGTCGGCGACGCAATTCTTCATGGAGAAGATGACCGACCACCATTTCTTTTGTCAAATTGTTTTGCACGCTCTCGAGTGTCGTAATCACTGTCGACCACTCTTCCCGAAGGCCGCAAAGCAAGGTCAAAATCCAATCCTCTTCCGTGACCATTCCATCGAGGTCCAGGAACGTTTCCCCGAGTTCCTCCGCATGAGTCACATACTCGTGCATAGATTCGCCCGCACGTAACTCCACCGTGTAGAACGCATTACGGGCTAGGATCTTGCCGTGGAGAGTCTTGTTCACGTGCATCGTCTTGAGCCGCTTCCATGCTTCATGCGCCGATGCTTCGAGCCTGATGCACATGCGCACCGGACTCACGAGGTTGATGCCGATGCGCGAAATCAACGTAGCGAACACCTTTTAATCATTTTTTCTTCCATGCCGCGATCTCGTCCGCACTGTAAGGGATTTTCTCCGTTCCGTCAAAGAGACCCCAAAGTCCTCACTCCATCATGAGCACTTGGAACTTCAATTTCCACTCATAGTAGTTTTGTCCCGTGAAAATCAGAACCACCAACGTGTCGAACACTGTCGCGGTAGTCCAGGGTTCGCGGGGATTCGTGACGATTTCATCAAGGAAAAGTGCGAGAGGCATCGCTTGAAGTTGGCATGCATGCTTCTTGTAGCGCGCGCAGAATTCTCTGGCCAACTCTGATACCACTGTTATAGAGGACTCTCCTCTACTTTGCAGGAACCCAAAGTTGTACTAAATAATAGAGCACCCTGAAAGAGTTATATATAGGCGTTTATGTGCTTGGTTGTGCTCTTAGAACAGAGGATAGGAGCTCTTTGGATTTTATAGTCGAATTGCACCGTGTAGTACGAAACATGCAAACAAGGCGAACATATTTATAGCTACTCAATACATCGAGTCGCGCATGTAACATCTAATCACTACGAGATGTGTCGCGAACATTCGAGTAACATCTCGAACGGGGTGAAATTCGGTACTCGAATTTCACCAAATGCTCCTTTAACCTCGAATGTTCCTGATGTTGCCATGTGTCACCGAATCGATGGAGTCTTCCGAAGTCAAACTTGAACCCCACGCAAACCTGCAGCTCACTCGAAGGTGAGCACCAAAAACAACACCGCTTGGTGGTTGGGGAAAAAAACCGCCCCATGCAACCATGTAATCATGACGGGTGATTGGTGGGCGGTGACGGGTGTAATCATATGGCTGATGCAAAATGGCCAGCAATACTGTGGGCGGAGTTTCAGAGTTACAGGTGTTGGAGATGGAAACATAAGGATATATATATGCTGTTAGATTACATTGTCTCAGAAGAACTAGGCAAGGATGAATGAACTAGCAGAAGTTTGGGTACAAATATGAAACCCTAGTTGGGGTTGTACCCCATATTGGCTACCCCACTACAGCCTACAAGCATAATACAGTTTAACACACCCCCATAGGCAAAGTGGGGGAGAACAAAGGGTCACAAGACCAGTCCAGCAAAGCAAAGCAAAGCCCAGGGTGGATCACAACGTCACCACACTCCGAGCACAAGTAAAGGCCACAAGGCCAGTTCACATGCAGTGCTAGATATAGTACAAGACAAGCAACACAGTGATCAAAACCTAGCAAGCAAGCAACAAGATATATATAAAGTACAGTACAAAGAATGTCAAGCAGTGAGCAAGTGAGGAAATGTGACACCAGGCCTAAAGAAGTACAGTGCCGCTGATGATCACTAGGCGGGAGCGCCTTGGTGAAGATATCAGCAGTGTTGGCCTTCGAGTCCACGTACACAAGCCGAAGCTGACCGCGCTGCTGAAGCTCTCGAGCAAGAAAGTAGCGAAGAGCAATGTGCTTCGTCCTGTGCTCCAGTCTGTGCTCCTGACACAAGGCAAGAGCCGCCTTGTTGTCACCGTACAGAACTGGAGGAGAACTAGGCCGCTCTCCCAAGTCAGTCAGCAGGTAGGTGAGCCAGCGTAACTCCTGTGCAGCCATGGCTGTGGCGTAGATCTCAGCCTCACAACTAGAGCCGAGAACAGAGGAAGAGCGGGTGGACCGCCACGAGACAGAACCAGAGCCAAGGCTGAAGGTGTAACCCTGTGACGACCGCTGCGTAGCCAGGTCGTCCACCCAAGAAGCGTCCGAGTGACCAGTGAGGACAACTCTGTCGCGTCCTCCAAGCACCAGCCCCATGCCTGATGTACTGCACAAGTAACGCAGCACCCTCTTAGCAGCCTCCCAGTGCTCTCGCCTGTGTCTCCCAGGCGCAACGTAACGAGCAAGGATGCTAAGAGGGTACGCGAGGTCAGGTCGCGTGCAGGTCATCAGGTACATGAGGCAGCCTACAAGCTCTGGGTACGGGCCACTCGGCTCTACGGACTCGTCCGAAGGTGGAGCTGAGAGCGAGTGGCTGGTAGCCAGAGGTGTGGCCTGTGGTGAGGAGAACTGGAAGCCGAAGCGCTGAAGGACCTGCTGCACCATGTGTGACTGAGTCAGGGTGATGGTGCGGCGAGCTCTGTCCCGGGTGATCTGCAAGCCAAGGTAGCTACGCAGTTCACCCAGGTCAGTGCAGGTGTGTCTCTTCTGCAGCTCCGACTTCACACGAGCGAGTGCCTCAGTGTCAGCAGTAGCAAAGACCAAGTCGTCGACGTACACGAGAATGTAGAACGGCGGCAGCGACGTGTCTGTGCGCAGAAACAGCGACGGGTCAGCAGTAGACGGCGCGAACCCAAGAGCCGCAAGTGTAGTCCTCAGTGTGTCGTGCCACTCACGTGGCGCCTGGCGGAGACCGTAGACTGGCCGGCGGAGACTCCACTGGGTACCAGGGGGAAACGACCCAGTAAAGCCAGGGGGTCGACTTCTTCCAGTTTAACACATTGTAGTCTTCTTTATAAGCCTCTAGAACCTACAATAATTGTACGGCTGGAATTATTGGAGTCTAGAGGTCTGGGGTTAGAATTATTGGTACTCCTTTGGGGGTTACAATTATTGGTGGTACAATTAGGTCTTATTCCTACGGCCTCCTATCAAGAAACCTCCTATCAAGAATGCACATTTTGCCTGGTGAAAGTAGCGAGAGATTTTGGGTTTAGGCAATTTTCCAGTGTGGGCTTGATAAGAGGTTTTCTTGATAGGAGGATAGGAATACGCCCTTATTGGTGTGGATGGGTGGATTGGGCAGGGTAGTTGATAGCATAAATACCCTGCTGTGTGGTGCTACTATCAATCCATTGTTCTGAATCCACTCAGTTGCATGGTTCTCTTACTAATCTAATCTACAATCAAGGCTTCCGCTACGCTGGCATCATGCCTTTCTAGCATGGTATCAAAGCCACTCTAGGGGGCATGCTGCCAAAATTTGGTCAGAACTCTATCATCATTCACATTGGACAAACATATTGGCATAGCAAGAGGCAACGATTGGATCAAGACAATGGCGCGGTTCGACGATGAAGTCGACAATGCATACGAGGCCTTTGAAGAGGCCATCATGGCTCAACATGAGCATCTGGAGAGCATGATTGCAAGGGCACCACCAGCACTCCAAACGTCATTGAGAGCAAAGTTCAACATGCAAATTGGTGAAGGGAGTGGCAAATTGGATTATGTGGGCGTGGAAGGTGTAGGAGTTGAATCCTACGCTACTGGTGCTCCCCCACTACGGCGTCTTGTCACTAACGGTAATCCCCTTGGAGCCCCTATAATGGGCAGATCTCACCTTCTTGGCAAAAGCATCATACCTCCTCGCACGTCTCGTCCACTAATGGGAGTGGATCCTGCATGGAGCATGGAGCGCACGAGACAAAGTATGCGACGTGATCGCGTTGACATGATGGAACATCACTCCTACGGGACCAAGAATGCTGCAACTTCAAGCAGAGAGCAGCAAGCGACTAAGGGAGAGAAAATGAATGGCAATGACGGAAAGGGCGGACGCTCAACTCTCATGTGCTGGTTTTGCAAGACACTGGGGCATCCGTTCTACAAGTGTCACACGACACCACCAGGATGGTCACCACCGGAGTGGGAACAACAAAACAGAAGGAGGACCAACCGACATACCAGCCACAGCCGTTCGATCTCTCCCCAAAATGGTGGCAGCCTCAAACGTGACAACAATGATGTAAAGCAGCAAGGGGCAGCCAGGATAGACAACAAACGAACGGTTACGTGTATTGCAACGGTTAGATCGGCGCAAATGACCTCACCAAGCGCTGGAAGTTCTCTTTGGTTGCTGGACAGCGGATGCAGCCAGCACATGACATCGGATAAACAATGGTTTGAAGATTTGACGGAGATGGACGAACCGGTATGCGTGGAGCTTGCTGATGGGAGCACTCTGAAGAGCTCAATGGTGGGCACAATCAGAGCACAAGCACCCGATGGGACAACGGTGCGTTACACCGAAGTGCTCTACGTACCCGGATTGAAGTCCAACCTTCTCTCTTATTGTCAACTGCTGAAAAAGGGAGCTCGAATCAACACAAATGCTGAAGGCGACGCCGAGATCAGCATGCCTGTTGGAGATGGGCATGTACGAATTGGACTTGGCAAGGACGTGCATGGAGTGCTCATGGTGGATTATGAGCCAGCAGTTGCTTCTGCCCATGAATCTGGACACACTCATGAGGATGCGCATGGTCATGGCGAATTGAACGGTCAATCTGCTCCTGCATCCGTCACCTACCGTATTGCGCACATGGCTCGTGTCGTGAGGGACATGGCACGTGATGGTGACAAGGACACTCATTTACCGGGCACGTTTGATGATATGCTGCTGGACGCTGAGACGTTTCTTGGACATCAGCAGCACACGAATGAAGACTCACCCCACGTTGCGGTGTGGACTTCAGGGGGAGAAGGAAAACAGTCCGCGGTGGGTAAAGGGGACTCCACGGACCAAGACTTACATGGAGCTGATGAAGACAATGCTATCGAAGGAAACGGAGGTGCTGCAGCAAATGGGTTACCTGCAGCAGATGTAACTGTATCAGAGGAAGTTGAAGATGATGATGCTGGAAACAAGGTGGGATATGCAACTACGGGTGTGCGCATGGCTGCCTTGACATACAAGGAAACAAAAGACATGGTCACGGATCAGCCCACACTCGCCAAAGACGGACATGACATCACCTGCAGCCGCATGTGCGGCCTCCAACCGATTCCTCATGGAGCAAAATCTGCAAATGGTCAGCAAGTCAATGGTGCTGGTGCAACACTCACATGTGCGGACTTCTCGCAATGTGCTGGACAACAAGGCGTTACGTAACTCCTCACACCTCACTCGTGTGTTTGCAACCATGTGCAAGCTCGCATACACACGAGTGAGAGGGGGAGTGGGGTGTGGGAGCATCACGCGCTGGATTGGGAGGCATAAGTGCATTTACATCTTCATGGCTACAAGGAAGTTATGGATCGTTCCGCATGAGTCAACCTACTGTTACAAGACAAGGGGTCACTGCTGCTGCCGTTGTGTGCCAGCAGCTGCTGCTGAAATCGGTCTGCACTTGCTGAAATGCTCCAGCTGCTGCTGTCCGCGGGCAGCCGTTGTTTCACGTGTACCTGCTGGTTTCAGGGGGAGTAACAAGACAAAATGAGTAAAGTTATCAAAAGGATTGGCTTCATACAGTGGAGAAAGGAGAAGGGCAGACAGAACGCTACATCTGGTACGAGGTGTTGAAGCTGCAAGAGATGCAGCCCACGGTCTGCAGCTTACCATGGGGCAGCTGCTGCTGGTCGTGCAGGACAACAGCTGCTGTTGCTGCAGGCCACCAGGCGCTGGAGCAGCCCGACAGGTGCAGCCCACCAGGCGCAGCCAGCCAGGTGCAGCCAGACAGGTGTTGCTGCAGACCGCCAGCTGCTGTTGCAGTCCGCCAGGTAGTGCTGTTGGTGTGAGGGGGAGCATACCAAGAAAACACAGGTTAAGGCAGTCGTAGCTTCATCCAGGAGGAGAGTGCAAGGTAAACAGAATGAGAAGGCAAGCTACTACTGCAGGGCTAGGAGATCCTGAGGTTCCTCACCGTCAGGCGCTGCTGCAAAATGACAGGTGAAGCTGCAGGCGGTCATGTGCTGCTGATCCTGCCGGGTAATACTACTGTCACCGGGCATGTGCTAGTGCAGGGCGTCAGGAGCTGCTGCTGCTGCTGCTGCTACTGCTGCTGTGCGCCACCTGAAGACAAAAGCACACGGGAGAAGTATTTAATCTGGAGAAGCTGGTCAAGCGGTGTAAGGAGACTACGGTGGAAGGGCTACGTACTTCTTCAAAGGAACAAGACTAAGAAGAATGAATGAAAGGCTCGTTACCTAGTCACGACGGAAAAGGCATGCAGCTGTAGCCGTGCTGCCGGTCGATGGTGCTGCGCCTGCCACGAGCTGCTGGTGCTGCTGCCGCACGTCATGCGCTGCTGGAGCTGTTCCAGTGCATCACCAGCCACAGCTGCTGCCCGTCGCCAGCTCCTGCAGGGACGAGTGACACAAAGCGAAGGTTAGTCAAGTGATGTGAACTCAATCAAGACGATTGGAAGGGACGACATCTACTCCTGTGCACTAGGAGAATAAAGGGTTAAACTCACAAGGAAGTGTGCTGCTGCAGCCCGCCGGGTGGTGATGATGCTGCCGAGCACCGGTCGCCAGTCCAGCAGCTGAGTGTCAGTCGGTGCTGGTCCCTCTCGCTCGCTAGATGCTGCCACCACTCTCCAAGCGCCAAGTGTCGCCGTGCGGATACCACACACCCGCGCCAGGAGCAGCAGGTGCTGCAGACGTCGAATATCAGGAGCAGGTGGCCGCCGCCGATGCAGCAGCGGACTCACGCCAATTCGTCAGCGACTGCTGACGTGCGGCTGGTCGTCGTATCAAGGCAGCGCCACCAGGCAAGGCGCTGCAGGCGGCGCAGGAGCGCCAGGTCGCCAGCAGTGGCAAGGGGAGATAGCGCGACAGCAGCAGCCGCCATGTGATGCAGCAGCACGCATGCTGCTGCGATCGTGCGTCGGTCGCTACTGCTGGTCGTCACGGGCGCCGATGCAGCAGTGCGCCTAGTACTGCAGTCGCGCATAAGGACGTGTGTGAAACTAATTGCAGTTCGAAAATGGGATCGAACTTAATGTGGTAACCAACATCGTCATTGTTCGCGAATGCTTTCGCCGAAGCAGTGCTTCACTACCCATCCCACTTCACTCGAACCCCAAAAAGTGAACTAGACTCGAGTGTGTGAGCAAACGTGATTTTGCACGTTGTAGTGAACGTGTGTGGTTTCAGGCACGTACGAGGAGTGTGCGACACTCGCAACACATTCGTTGACGTGTCGCGCTGTCAAGATGCCGATACTGGGTAACCTACGCACCCTAGTCGCGGTTCGGTTCTCCCCCTACAGGCTCGAACTTGTAGATTCGCACTTGCGCGTGTGATTGTGTGTTTACAACTTTTGACAGCTAAGGCTCGAACCTTGCAACCACTCAAAATCGAGTCAGGTTCGCTTAGTGTTCAGATGCTACATTCGAATCAAAAACCTAAACTTTGGGCCAAAATTAGTTTCACACACGTCCTAAGGCCGCAGCTGCCGGAAACGCGCGTCAAGTGCTGCAGATCGTCACGTACGCTGCTGTCGCCAAGCGCCAGCCGTGACATCGCGAGCGCTGGTGGCGCGCACCAGCTGCTAATACAGGTCATCGCGACATGCAACAGCAGTCGCGCGATAGCTGCTGCTAAAGAAGAAATACGGGCTGCTGCTAAAAACATGGCAGCAGCTGCTAACTGATCAACTACTACTGCAGCACGCCATGAAGGTTCTACATTTCGACTTTCTGAAGCGAAGTTTCACCGCGCTAAGGCTGTTAAGGCAGCTGCGGCAGCCACGAATGGAGTTAACGGTGCATAGGAAACTGGATCTGAAAGAGCTACGGATGAGATTGAGAGTGACGAGAAGAAGCAGCGCTGGACAAGGAGCAGCGCAACTGGTGTAACGAAACCCTAAGGGGAGAAATGGGAGTGTTGGAGGGGAAAGCTAGGAAAGGGGTTGGCGAGATTGGGGAAAGCCCAACAAGAGCGGAAAATCATGCACTGCACACCAGAGGAACGTGCCAAACTGCTACAGTCCGTCTGACGCGTTACTGGTCTCAACGGAAGTCCCAGTCCGCAATCACCGTCGTGACCTCAATTTCTCGCCGCAATCAACGGGTCGACAAAGGGTACGTATGGTAACATAACCACCTCCATCCTCCACACAAACGAACTTCAGTAAAATCTACAGCAAGGGGGAGTGTTGGAAATGGAAACATAAGGAAATATATATGCTGTTAGATTTCACTATAGTCTTCTTTATAAGCCTCTCGAGCCTACAATAATTGTACAATTATTGTAGGGCTTGAATTATTGGAGTCTAGAGGTCTGGGGTTAGAATTATTGGTACTCCTTTGGGGGTTACAATTATTGGTGGTACAATTATTTGTGTGGATGGGTGGACTGGGCAGGGTAGTTGATAGCATAAATACCCTGCTGTGTGGTGCTACTATCAATCCATTGTTCTGAATCCACTCAGTTGCATGGTTCTCTTGCTAATCTAATCTACAATCAAGGCTTCCGCTACGCTGGCATCATGCCTTTCTAGCAACAGGCAGGCGGAGGTTCTGAGTGTCGAGCAGGACAAGGTTATCGGCTTGTAAGTGACGGGGCGCTGGTGGTGATCGGCGTTACGTTTAGCAATGATGTTGGATTTTTTTATGGCGTCTTCTGCTCGGTTTCGGGTTGCCTGCAGAATTTTGGCGAACTGTTGCACGTGTGGGGCTGGGTTGTCGGGATTCGGGGTCATGAGTATTGTAGGGATCTGTCCGTAGTTGAGGTAGAACGGCGACTGTTATGTCGTAGCTGACATAAAGTTGTTGTACGTGAATTCAATTAGTGGCAACTGCTGCTCCCAAGTTGCCGGGTCGTCACGCATAGCTCGTACTAACTGTTCCAGGGTCTAATTGGTCTCTTCTGTTTGACCGTCGGTTTTGGGGTGGTACGAGGAACTAAACTGTAGCCGTGTGCCAAGCTGTTGCTACAGTTTCCGCTAAAAGTTACTGGTGAATTTTGTGTCACGGTCGCTGATGATCGCTACTGGTATCTCGTGCAGTCGGATGACGGTGGAGATGAAGAGTAGAGCTGTTTCTTCGGCTGTGATTGATTTTTGCAGGCTGCGAAATGTGCCATCTTTGTCAGACGATCAACGATGACCAGGATCGCGTCGTTCCCACTTGCTCCAACTGGTAACCCCGTCACGAAGTCCATTGTCACCTACTACCAAGCACGCTCTGGGGGTGGTATTGGTAGTAACTGTCCTACCGGCCGCTTCCATGACGACTTCATGAGCTGGCATGTGGGACAGGATGCCACATGTCGCTGTATGTCGGTAAATGTTTCGGGCCATTAAAAATCCGGTGCAGCTTCTGATGTGTTTTCTCAACCACAAAAGGCCCGAGGTGACTCCGTTGTATGCCTCTTGTAGTAGTAGTTTCCGCAATAGCGTGTAACCCAGTACCCAGATGCGGTCGGTACCGGCCTTTACGTAAGGACGCATCATGATTGCAACACCGGATAAGGATCAGAATAACACACCGAAATCATGAGTATCAAACGCCACACCTAGGTTTCAACCCGCGTGGACAATATCGCCCTGGAGGTTCCTATTTTGGCGGAGTGTTGAACGTTTCTGAGCTTTGTAAATGCTTGAAGCGGGATTTCAGTGCGGTGGCGGCTCAATATTGGACAATCTTATTGTGACGAGAGTTTACGCAAAAGCTAACAAAAAAGAATGCCCTACCTTTCACGACTCCGCAAAGCTACTGTGGACTCAAACATCAATCCCTTGCGGGATTGATGTTTCAATTGTGATGCATCCTAATAAATCCCTTTTCCTGCTACGAACTACTGTGAATTTCCTCATGTAAAGAACGGGTCTGTCTGGTATTCGTGGGTAAATAAACCTGTGAGCAATTGGCAAGTAGTATGGCGTGTATCTGGGCAGTTGGGTGGGTCAGTGCATTAGCAACATTCGAATCTCCCTTTCTGTAGGTTGTCGTGTAGTGGAAGTTTGACTTAAGGAAGTCGAGCCAACAAACCTGTTGTGGGCTGGGTTGGGGCTGTGTACGAAGGTACTATAGTGGTTTGTGGTTTGTTCATACCAACACGTAGGTGCCGGTCAAACGACAGCGCCACACTTTGAATGCATGCACAATTGCGAACATTTTGCAGTTTTGTATCTGGTAATTCTTCTTAGGCGGATGCAATTCTTGTGACTCGTATGCGATGGGCTATAATCTGTTGCCGAATTTCTGTAGCAGTACTCCTCCGATGGCGATGTCGCTTGCGGCTATAACTACTTCAAATGGGCGGTGTGGGTCGTGTTAAACTCTATTATGCTTGTAGGCTGTAGTGGGGTAGCCAATATGGGGTACAACCCCAACTAGGGTTTCATATTTGTACCCAAACTCCTGCTAGTTCATTCATTCTTGCCTAGTTATCTTGAGATGGTATTCAGAGCAGGAGGTCCCTAGGACCTACCGACCGTTTTTTAGGGCCCACCACCGCTCGCATGCGGTTACCACGCTACCCCGTGCCCTAGCCTCGTAGCGCCCTCGTGCGCCCTCGTTAGCGCCCTCGCGCGCCCCTCGTTAGCGCCCTCGCGCGCACCCTCGTTAGCGCCCTCGCGCGCCCCTCGTTAGCGCCCTCGCGCGCCCCTTGCTAGCGCCCTCGCGCGCCCCTCACTAGCGCCCTCGCGCGCCCCTCGCAGTGTCGCCCGCCCGCCGAGCCGCCCGCTCGCAGCCCGCTCGTCCCGCTGCCCGCTTCGCAGCCCGCCCGCCCGCTAGCTGCCCGCTTCGCGGCCCGCCCGCTTCGCGGCCCGCTCGCTCGCTGCCCGCTTCGCGGCCCGCCCGCTTCGCAGACCGCCCGCCCACTCGCTACCCGCTTCGCGGCCCGCCCGCTACGCAGCCCGCCCGCCCGCTCGCTGCCCGCTTCGCGGCCCGCTCGCTCGCTGCCCGCTTCACTCGTACCAATGTGCCGCTTGCGTGTGGTTGAGTCGGTTAGTGAAACGGAAGAGGGTCGCAGAACATAGATGACACCTCCTCCAGAAAAGCCGAGGGGATCGGGGAGGTGCTTTCTCTCACGCCACCGCTCCCCATGCCGCTGTTGCTGGTGCTGCTGATGGGAATGTTGCAGTTGCTGCTGCTGGGGAACCCGTTGCTGCCCGTAACGTTCTTACTCTTGTTGCTGTTGCTGTCGCCATTCATGTTGTTGCTCCCGTTGTTGTTGTTCTTGCTCTTGTTGCTCGTGTTGATGCTAGCAGCCGGCATGGCTGTGTTGCTGTTGCTGCTGGTGCTCTGCACGCCTAAATCACGCCGGGCAGACGCCCGCCCACTGCTCATGCTGCTGCTGCGCATGTGCGTGTGCGTGTGCATGTCTGTGTGCATGTGTGAGGGACCCATAGGAGTAGGGATGTGGCAGTGCATGGGGTGCTGAGCTGGTGGCAACAAGGCATGGTGGGGGGCCATGGCAGGAGTGGGCATGGCGTGTGCGTGCATGGGTGGTGCGGCATGCATGGGGTGCATGCGCGAGGCATGGGGATGCATGTGAGGAAGCGGAGCGGCAGCAGGGGCGGGGGGTGGAAAGGCAGGGTAGGGCGGAGGGGGGAAGGGCGGCCAGAAGGCAGCAGGGGGAAGGCCCACGTGGGGGGGCCACATGGGCGGGTGGGGCAGGTGGCGGTAGCGCGCTGCTGGTGGGGGGGGGTTTTGGGGAAATAGGGGGATGGAGAGGATATATCATATATGAGAGAAAGATAAGAGGGAGGGGAGTGGAGCAGCGGTGCGTGAAACCAGGTGACACATGCCGTGGCGAGAGGCAAGAGGGGGCGGCGGTACGATAGCACGGAACGAGACGGAGAGGAGATGAGTTGGGGGAAGGATATGGGGAACAAGGCGTTGGCATGGCGCGAAGGAGAGCAGGACTCACCGGTAGGGAATGAGAGATCCATGAGCGAACGGCCCTTCCCCCCATGCTTCTCCCCGCTCCTTCCTCCCACAC